AATATATAAAAGTTTATTTGAGTTTTATTTGGCTTAGTGTGTCCGATTTTATGTGCATATAAACTGATAAAGACAAGGAGATATTGGCTCTTATATGCAGAGATCTTAGTACCAGGTTGGGACATGTGTCTCTCTCTGGTCTCCTGGTCTCCTGGTCTCTGGAGGGGGTGGGAGATGGGGGAGGGGGGTAAAGGTGTGTTTGTGTCCATAACAGAGGAGCAAATAGGCCCATTAGAAATGAAAGGGTCTGAATGGAGCTAATCAAAGGCGGGCCCAGCAGGAGACTTTTACCCCACAGACAGCAGCAACCTGGGAGTGGGTGCCGAGGAGGGTGAATGACCCCTCATCATGGTTAAGGACTGGAGACCACAGATTACGCAGAAAGGCTTGAAGCAAAAGTAAAAATGTTGCAAATGGCAATTTGAAGGATCGGCTCACTCACATAATAAAAAAACAATCTGATTTATTGCTGTCGGGATCACCCTCAGTGTGATTTTCCAAAAACCTGGTTACATACGAAGCTATAGCCAGCAGCCGCTTATCTTAGCTTAGCATAAAGACTGGAAACAGGGGGAAACAGCTAGCCTCGCTCTGTCCAAAGGCACAGATTAAACAAACAAGATACAACATGTTAATTAGTTGTCACCTTTGGACATCCAGGCAAGCCAGGTCAGCATTTTAATTTGTCAAATACCGCAGTTTGGGATCAAATACCTGCAAATCTATTGACATTCCCCTCAGCAAGTAAACAAATGTTAACATGTTAGCACCAGCACGCTAAGCATTGTGATTGTGAGCCAGCTGGATTAAAGCTCCAACAAATGCTTTTTTAGATGAAACTTTCTGTTGTCCTGCTCCTACAGGATGGATGTTGGCCACCAATGTGTCTAGTACAGCCTCACGGGGCAGCTAGCATCTTGTTATGACATAATCCTTCTCCAAATTGACAATTTAATAGATGAAAGACACCCCTTGTCTGTGCATGGCTGAACCAAGGCAACTGGGAAAAATCATTTCATACTCTCAAATTTTATTCACCAGGACAATTCAGTGCTTTACAAGGTACTGAAAATACATCTAAAGGTGAAAGACAGCTTCACAAGAGATTCATTAGTCCTACAATTAGATGCACAATTTAATAACATTTAAACAATAGTAATTAAGGCCAGGAAGATTTGTTAAGCTGTGTAAAATAGGAATGTTTCTAGCTTTAGAAGTAGTCAAAGTCAACTGGGATGTTATTCCACATCTGTGAAACACCATGTTTTGTTCTAGTCTCAGATATCCTAAAGGGGTCTAGGAGGCAGAGATGTATTTGGGCCCAGAGCCACAGAGTGATTTGTAGATGATTACCAAGATTTTAAAGTCAGTGTGAGGATGTAAGTGTTGTAATGTGGTTTTATATGCGTTTTATCTCCACCTCGAGCAGCTACAACAGTAAAATGCTGCTCTAACATGAAATCATCAGCATTAATAATCAGATATCAGTCACATGAGGCATTTTTCCTGCAGAACCAACACTTTTTCTTTTGCTACTTTCTGAATAATACTTTTGTACTTAAACTTGGAGTTTGAATGAATGACTTTTGCATAGTTGTAATGCTAAGTTTACTTAAGAATCCAAATCATTCTTCCACCACTGCGCCTAGTTCTCGGACTTGAATATTAGTAATAATCATAAGTCAAACAACCACACAAATACATTCTTGCCCTTCAGGTTTTATATTAGCAATATCCTAGTTTATAGAAGAAGACTCTCAGGAGCTGCAGACACTATTTCCCGTCTGTGTGTGTGTGTATGAGTGTGAACTCACAGGCGTTTCCGTCACCTCCTCCTAACAGCCTCATTAACCTCTAAATACCGGTTTAACATCAAAGGCGGTGTCAGTGCTCACACCTCAGTCTCCCCTCACATGCACTCTCTTTAACATGTGCACACACTTCTTCATGTACAGCCCTTTTCTGCAACAAAAAACAATATTTTTTCCAAATTTAAGACAGGAGAACTATATGAAACAAAAACACAAGACTATCAATAAGTGTGTTTATAGTTGCTGGAAATGCAGTAAGGTGAAAAAGACGGTTTATTTTATGTTTCTAAATCACCATTGACACGTCATTGTTTTTGACACCGAATGTGTGAACCAAAAGTTTGTGAGGGTGAAGGAGACATCCTCCTGAACTGAGGAGACTACGAGTCTCGACTTCTGTGAGAAGAGACGGGATGTAGTTTGCGTTAATGTGAATTCATTTAACTGTGGATGAAGGACTTATAGCTCCTGGGGAGGCAACAGTTAGCTTGTTGTTGTTTATTAAAAGTAATAAATATACATTTTAAACTATTCTTCGGTAACTACAGCACTCTTTATTTACCTAACATGTCCCTCTACAAGGAAAAGCCAAGAGGAATACTAAATAATAAATAAATAATGTGAGGGACAAATTGGTGGCGGTGGAAGAAGTACTCAAATCCACTTAACTAAAATGTTAAAATACTCCATTAGGCTACAAATAGAAGTCCTGTCTTATTTAAGTACAAAGTATTATCAACAAAACATAGGCAAGGCTAGTTTATTTGTGTATATGTAGTTGTTCATTCTGCAGTAAAGTGTCTCCTGTGACAGATATCTGATTATATCTGACATTATTAGATTGTTAATACTGATGCATTTATGTTAGAGCAGCATTTTACTGCAGCTGCTTGAGGTAAATTTACTACGTTATACAGTATAGTAAACTAGTTTAGTCCAGTGGTCCTAACCTGGGGTCAGACCTCTCCAAAGTGTCACCAGATAAATCTGAAGAGTCATGAGATGATTAATGTACAGAATAATAACAACAATAATGGCAATAATAATTTACTCCTGCATCGTTTGCACTCTGCTCATTGCACTATTGTCTCACTCTGTCTGTTTTGTTTATAGCATGTATATATGTGTTCTCTATACTGTAGCCTGTGTTTAATTTTATTACTGTATTATTGTGTTATTGTATTATTGTATAAGTAAGTACATCGTGAGCAATGACGCAGACGCTCACGTTTTGGCTCTCTGATTGGGTCTCATAAGTCATGCAAAGCAGAAACAGGATGACTTGATATTTTAATTAAAATATTTTGTACCATGCAAATAACGCTTATAGCCTACACTTGTACTACATGTCGCCGTATTTACTTTGCAACGATTCCCAGTCTGTTTTCCGTCACAACTGTCGCTTTTAAATTCCTGTGTTACATTCAGAAACAGTCCCAGCTCGTTATTGGTCCATGCAAAATAAAATCTGGTTATTCGTCTGTAGTACTTTATTCTTTCGCCAAATGTTCTGTAACTACGGAACAGACCGTCTGCATCATGTTTACACCGGCACGCGCATGCCCAGTGTATCTGAACGTCGTTTTAGTATAGACGGAGATCAACTCTAAAACGCTGGTGTGGACGGAGATCAACTGCAGCTCACGTTTGACTATCAAGTCGGCGAAAAGTCAGCCACAGTTTTTGAACCGAGCATCTGCAGAGTGAATCAGGTGATTCAGAACTTGCTCCTGATTGGAAAAATTGGAGGTGTTAAAACTGACCTGTGTTACAACCATCCCCGGTCTCCCCTACATAAATTTTGTATGAGTTGTAATATTTTACATCATTTTATCTCTTTGGGGCTCAACGGGTTACATTTTAACTAAACATCTGTGAAGTTTAGAAGGGAAATGTCTCTTTGGTGGAACTGCTAAAAACTCAGAAGAGACATCTGAAACGTGACAAGGGGCCACAACACAACATTGTCAAAACGGCTGGAAGCCACTGGTTTAATCTTTAACAACTTGTTCTACTTCACAAGCTTATCGTATGTTTTAATGTAAAAGCAACTATAGCTGTCAGAACATTTTGAAACAATAATTCGCTCTGAAATGGAGTAGAGTATCATAAAATGGAAGTACTCAAGTATCTGGTTTAGTTCTTTGGTAAATGTGTCTTTCCATCACGGACTACACGCTCCCTTCACATCTCATCTCTCTGCTGTGTGGTTTTGTTTTGAGTGAATCCACAGATAAAGACAACAAGCACGTTGCAGAATACAGGTCAGTAGTTCACAGGTGTATTTGTGGGGAAATGTTCCTGCAACGCAGGCACAAGACAACATATAGTAAAACATTTCATGTTGTATTTGAAGCGATACGAGTTGTACAGAAATATAAAAGTAGAAAAATCTTTGAAAAACAACCGCTTGAAAAGTTATTATCTGTAGTTTTACAGTGTTCAGCTCTTTTGTTGTTTGATTAGATCAAACTGTTGCTCTTATCAAGTCTCTTCTCTAACATGAGAGCAGATTTAATCTCATCACACTGTGAACTGTTCAGGAGAAACCAGCTTTGTTTCTGTCTTTTTAGAACACAAGCTCATTTCGTTCTTGCACCTTTTGAAGAACATGCGACAGCAAATGAAAAAGAAAATTCCTCAATCCTAAAGTGTTTATTTGCCAAACCACAGTTGGTACTCTTTTAGTACTCTAGCAGTGTGTGACTCCATCTGTGGAAAAAGTACTTGGATCTTTTACTTAAAGTATTTAAAGTACATCTTTTAAAAAAGTACCAGCAGTACTGCAGAATGGCCCATTTCATCACTTTAACGTCACAGCTGGTAAATGGTGACCTACGTTTTAACTATCTAGACAGCCGGAGTAGCTTGGGAATTTCACCAAGGAATCAATAAAGTCTTATTGATATCATTTGTTTGTTGATTATATTTCGTATGATTAATCTGAATCTAAAGTAAGAAGTAAAGTATTTCCCCTCAATTGTAGTAGAGTAGAAGTTTAAAGTTGCAGAAAATGGAAAAACTCATGTAAAATACATGTACCTCAAAACTGATGTTGATGCCTGGTCCAGACTGAAATGTATCTCTGTGATTATTTTATTGATTGCCATGACGTTTTGTTGATTAGCGTCACCATGAGGTTACCATTTGTGGCAAATATAAAATATCACCAGATGTTTCCTAAAAGACTTAATTCATACATCTTTTATTGTAAAATATAAGCAGTGCAATACAGTTCAGTTCATCTGCTGTTGGAACAGTTTTAGAGAGGTGTTGGTTCAGCTGTATGATCATTTGGGAGGTTGTAGTTAAGAAGAAACAGGTTTATTATTGTTAGTAGTAGTAAGTAGTAGTTTCAAGTAGGATTTCACATACAAGGAGTTTCACTTGGTGTTTCGATGCATAACAGTCAAAATATACAAAGACAAGAAACAAGTACTGTAAAAGTCAAGAAATCACTACATGTAAAACATATCTATTCTTAAATAATATGAGCTGCATTGAACGTGCAAAATATTGACAAAAAACAAAACCTTGTGGTGCTGTTGAACTGTGTCCTCGTCGATATAAATGGGGTGGATAAAATAACAGAAAGACCTGCCAGTATAACATAATACAGTTCAACAGCAGCACAAACTACAGCCACTAAAATTATCGTACAGTCGAATTAACACCTCTCTAAAACAGTCCTTATAAAACAATTGTCATCATTTTCCAGATTTGTAAAATCAGGTGTCATACTTTTATAAAAACTTTCAAAAATGTTTTAATAAACCTTCAAACTCGTGGATTTGTCGCTCACTATTTCTGGATCTTGTTGCATTGTCTCACCGGTTCCTGAAGCAACACGCCCACGCCAATACAGCCCCCTTATCTTTTTTTAAACGCAGGGTGCTGTTTTAGGTCTGAACAGCTGAGGTCTTGTTAACGTGAGCGCAGCAGATGGCGTTCAGCATGTCCAGAGTTTGCAGAAGCAGAGAGTTGTATAGAAGCTAAGCAACGTGCTGCTGTGGACAGCTGTGCAGCAGATGGTTTGGTATTTTAGCTACCTAAAAGAAGGCCCACTGAAATAAATCTATATCAGTTCCAGTGTACGCTTTGTGTTTTCAGCGCTATGCTTTGCTCCAGGCGGCTGGAGCCGTATACTGTATACAGCCTCTGGAGCCAAGCTGTCGTTGGGCCTTTTTTTAGGTGCCTAAAATACGTTTTGCTATTGATTAGCTTCCGTCCAACTCTCTGTTTCTCCAAGCTGGTGACGCGCTGACCTCCATCTACTGCAGTTAATACACTGACTGTGTATAAGTACCTCAAACAGACCCACTTAACAAATCTTGAACTATTCCTTTAACCCTCCCTTCTAGCCTCCTGTTTCCAGGTTATAAACCTCAGATGGGACTCCGCTTGGTCCTCCTGTAGGGGCTCAGCAGTCTGGTCAGGCGTTCCTCTCTGACGGTGGGATGTACTCCAAACCAAGATGTGCAAATATCTCCTCCTCCGACGTCGCTCTCAGATATCTACTCTGTAACAGAAAAAACTAAACAAACATTGCATCCTACTTATTTTGCAAGAAGAAAGACAAGAGGTGTATATTTATACCTGTTTGTTATCGTACAGAGCATGGCTGCTTAGAGACATGGCCTTCTCGTGCCCCGCCCAACGTCGTAGCTCTCTCTCAAACAACTGCAGAGAATATGGAGTCAGTGGAAGCATCATTCACTATGGAGCATCCTATCCTAGGTAACTTATGAAAGGTCACCTTGGATCCTGTCCAGCCCAGCAGAGCGAAAGCAAACTGGCTGATCGGAGAGACCACCAGGTCCACTCTCACGGCTCTCCACGGTTTGTGTCTGGCAGGTTTGGTCTGCAGAATTTGCACACCGTTTTCTGTCAGTGTCTCTGGCTGTGTCGCTCCTCGCTTCTCCTCCTTGGCAAGTTTAAAGATGGAGAAACATCTCTCAAAGCGGTCAATGTTGGAGGCGGGCCGAGCAGGACCGTCATTAGACTCCAGGTAAGAGTTTCTTGTAGTTTTCTGGTACAACAGGAAACCCTTGAGAGACGGGAAACTATAATTAAAGCTTTTGTGGAGTGAGAATATGAATCTCGATTATTAAAAAGAGGCGTCTTTAGGGGAAAATGCTGATATATTTCTGGTAGAGAAGGACCAATGAATCACTGCGCCGATATGAGCAAACAGCAGATAAATCTGTATTTGTGTTAATAACAGCTGATAATTGACAAAGAAACAGAGAGAAAGAAGACGAATCCTCCAATCATGTTATGAGTGTTGTTGTTGCATAGTTTGTCCACCAGAGGACGCTCTCTAGCAGCTCCCCTGTTGGCCACACACCCACAAATCCACCGCAAAACATAAGATATTATATAGCTGCAGTACCGGAGGCTGCAGATTCAGGACCCCCGCACTCCTGAGGCCGCAGTTCTTTTGCGACAGAGCCATCTAGTGGAGTGGTGGTGGTAATGCACAGCAACACGAAGAAGGTTTGCTAGCACGTGGGCCGTGAGGCCGATGTGCGCAGCTGTAGGGTGTACCGGTCATCATAGCAGCATATAATCAATAACTTAAGTTTAGGCACACACTCGGTGATGGTTGTGGTAAGGATAGTTGGCTTCGGGGGGCAGTATCAAAGTAAACAAGGGTTCTACAAATGCAGTTCTGGTCCTAGGATGGCGGTCCTGAAACTGTAGCCTCCGGTACCGCAGCTACATACTACTCCAAAACAATCAGCAATCAGCTGTACTTTAATTTAAAGTACTCAACTATTTATAACAATAAAAACAAAGTTTATTTTTAAACTGCGTTGATGCGATATGTGATATTATGTATTGTCAGTTGTAGATTTCGTGCTGTGTTTGATGCTCTGTTAATGATTGTATGTTGTTCCTCAAATGTAAGTCGCTTTGGATAAAAGCGTCAAATGAGTAAATGTAAATGTAATGCATTGTGTCACGTTCTTACATGCTTGGTGAGGTATCATAGCTACAGATGAAAGATGTTAGGGATAATCTTTGTTTATGTTATGTGTTACTAAAAAGAAGGGGGGAAAAAAAGAATATCGGCTAATATATCAGCATTTAAATATCAAAATCGGTATCGGTTTTAAAAACCCCTCATCGGTCGGGCTCTAGCTCCTGATATCCCTTAGAGAGACACTGCGTGACTTTTTATAAAAACCACGACAGACTCAAGAGTCTACCTGCGATTCCAACCTGGCGACCACTTTAGGCATCAGTCCCACCTCCCTGCCCTCCTCTGGATGTGTTATCAGGAAGTCGACATCATGGCCCGTCAGCTTTCCTCTGCAGAGAGTCACAAGAGACGCTTCCATTGAAGTCTGAAATTTCATAGGAGGAGCAGCTCGTTCCAGATGTGTTTTTCCACATCCCGTATTCCCATTTTAAATGTTCTCTTTCTCCTCAATGTCACCGAACATAGAATCACAGTATCATGTTTATGTTCAGACCAACAGTTTTAATTATTTAAATGCTCTGAATACTACAGTACCGGTGAGCTGCAGCTACATTTGTCAATTCAGTACTCTTAACACAGCGTCACTGGTACTGAATTCATCTAAAATTGACACAGAATTGAAAACAGAATTAACTTAAACTGCAGATTGTGTTTTCAGTAATCTTTCACCCGCTGATAGCAGCACATCTAACAACATTTTAAGCTCTGTGATTGGATGCTTTTTACCTAAATGCAAATTGGGAATTGTAGTTAAAGTTTTCATATCTACAGGCATGTATGTTTCCCCAATTTGAAAGAGAAAGAGAGAGAGAAAACTGTTGTCAAACTACAGGGTTTCTGCAGGTTCCCCGAGTTAAATCTAACCCTTCGAAATAAACTTTCACGATCATACCAGCCAAAGTACGAAAGTATGTTGGAAAACTGGCAGTATATAAAAATTGCTATTACAATATACTATGATAATTGAGCAGTGAGCAAAACTCCACTTTTGTTTTTCTGTATTTTTTAAGCTTTAAGGTGAACAGCAGTGGAGGAAACAGAAAAAGCTACTGCTCAAAAAATTTAATTTCTAACGTTTATCCTGGGAAAGTGTCAGTGTTATTTGATTTGTACCTTCTGAATCCTCCAATCAGACTCATCTGTGCACCGGGTAACACAGAAACAACAGCTCTCTCCACAATCTCACCGATGGCGTCGGCTTCCGCCTTAGTGACCGGCTGGTTGATGTCATCATAGTGCTCCAGACCTGAAAGTCAACAAACTATTAACTGAAAGAGAGACTTGATCGAACGCAGTATGACCGCAGAGCGCAGAGACACACCTGCTTGTTGAGCTCGATTGAGAGTTTGTCCTGAATCCTGAAGCTGCTGAAGGCTGCGTATCCCCTCTCTGATCCATCGGTCTGCTGTTTTCGCTCCAACTCCGAAGATACCTGTCAAAGCCTGAAATGCACATAGTGATGAAAAACAATTGTGTAATAAAGCTTTGACCCATTCAAAATCAAAGCAACAGGGAATCATAAACTCCTTCATCTTATTTAGTTTATAGCACTTTTTAATAAAAGACTGGAAATATTTAATATTCTCGTTATTAAAAACAACTCCCATTAAAGGATCATTTTGGCAAAAATCTGTGCAGTAGACACTTCGGTCGGCAGCACAAAAAGTGCTAATTGTGCCTTTTCCGGCAACAACTCGCCTCTCGCGAGAGCGAGATTTGAGCTTGACTAGACTTCAGTTCCCTGTTAAAAACAAAGGGTGTCACCGGGAGACCCTCGTAAGGATCCTTTCCAGGATGTTGAGACCTGTAATAGTCTGAAAAGAAGCACTTTTTGTGGACGTAATTTTGAATAATAACTGTTAAACTGCAGCTGCAGGACTCTATGAAGAATGGACATTTTTTTTAAATAACTTAATGTTTTCCCAATAAAAATTTAAGCAGAAAAGAAAAAACAATTACAAGAAGTGTTTTTTCTTCTCTTAATGTGTAATTTAAAGGGTTTTTAGAGCCTTGAAGAAGTAAAATTGTGCCATATTTGACAAGAAATTAGCTAAAATGTTATGAACGTTACATGATTTTGTTTAAGAGCGAAAAAAAAAATTAAATGATTATCTGTTGACTCTTCAGACTGGCGGATGGAGACAGATAAAATCTACACTTCCACAAAACAGCTGACATACCTTCAGCGCGTTATACCGCCCTGACTGCTTTGTGGATTCAGCTTCACTTGATGCTCCATTCTCTAAAATGTCCTACGAGAAAACAGCAAAAATTGATTGTTAGATCTTCTTTTGAGTGTGATAAAGTAGCCAAAAGAGGTTTAGAAATGTAGATGTTTGCTGACTTTGATGACTCTGAGTGAGTGTTCTCCCAGACAGGGAAGCCCTCTGAGCTGCGACATGCTCGTCACCGGTTTGGGGAGAGCCTTCAACACGGCGGCGGCTCGTCGAAATGCGACACCTCGTCCTTCCTCATCACTGAGCTCAGCGTTTTCAGCCAGGAGCGACAGAGCATCCTGAGACACAATACATATCTTTATAGCTTAATGTCAGTGGTGCAGGTGTCATGTATGAGATTTGCTTTTTCTGGGGGACGTACAGTGAGGGTGGTGTTATGGTTGTCTAGAGTTGTCCTTCTCTGACAGGCGTAGCTGGGGACGGAGAACACCTCAACCTCTGCTTCATTGATCCGCTGATCCTGAAACACAAAGAGGGATTAAACAACACGACAAATGCAACGGAAATCCGAGAGCTGTATTCATCAAACTGCTAAAGAAAAATTGGACTTCACTAAGAGATAAATGTTAATATACTTGACTTTCACTCTTCACTAATATAAACTCAGCAAAAAAGAAAGGTCCTCTCACTTTCAACTGCTTTTATGTATGGACATAAAAAGATTCAACATCTAAGACATAAACTGAATTAAGTTTATGTCAGAAATAGAAAAATGTGTCCCCGAATAAAGGGAGGTCAAAATCAACAGTCAGTATCTGGTGTGGCCTCCAGCTGCATAAAATACTGCGGTACTTCTCCTCCTCATCAACTGCACCAGGTTTGCCAGTTCTTGCTGTGAGATGTTATCCCACTCTTCCACCAAGACACATGCAAGAACCCGGACATTTCTGGGGGGAATGGCTCTCGAGGGTACCACATGGGGGAGGAGGATGTCTTCCCTGTAAATCACAGCATTAGTCCGACCATCACCCATGGTGACTCAAAACCGCGTCAGGCGAGCACTTTTTGCCAGTCCTGTCTGGTGCAGCGCAGGTGGGTTTGTGCCCATAGGTTGCAGGTGATGTCTGCTGTGGACCTGCCGTACAACAGGCCTACAAGCCTTCAGTCCAGCTTCTCTCTGCCTGCTGTGGACAGTCTGAGCACTGATGGAGGGATTGTGCGCTCCTGGTGTAAGTTGGGCAGTTGTTGTTGCCATCCTGTCGCACATAATTGGTCCTGCATTAAAGGGTAACTTCAGTGTTTTCCCATGTTTCTGTGTCTATGTGACTTATTTGGACAATGATTTTGGAAATTGGTCCAGTACTGAGGGAGCTTGCTGCAGTCAGCAGCAGTGAAACAGGGCAGCGTACCGTCAAAGTGCCTCGACTAAAGCGCTTGTTTATGCCACTGAGAGGCTCAGATTGTTATTATAAGTGTCTGACAACATTGTGGAAATGCTCCCCACAGAGATTTTTTAAGGAGTAAGATCCTTTTGTTTAACCAGAAATATTCAGTATATCGCTTTCGTCAAAGCCACCAGACTCCATTGACAAAAATAGAAATCGTACCTCTCTGATCTACTGCTGCCTCAATCAGTTGGTTTGTTTGTGTTATTTGGTGTTTCTAACCTGTTAAAACACCAAAGTCACACAATAACACAAACAAACTAACCGACCGATAATAATAATTAACAATTGGGCAGATATATATAAAACTATATAAGCAAAAGTTAGTCTCTTGATCATGTGTGGATTCAGAAGTGTAATTCTAAAAGTTTAAAGTTTGGGCCTTTATTTCCTTCTCAATACGGGTCTGATAATAAGGAAATTAGTCTTGTAAAGTAAAATGTACCTGTAGTTTATGTCTGTCCAGTATTTCAACAGGTTGGCCTTCACGCATGCTCTCTGTGTACCAGCTGATGTCCAGAAGGTGAGCAGGTTTCTGGTCCTGTGAGTCCAGCCACGCCCTCACCTCAGCGCCAGAGTTGTTCTCGGAAATTAAATGTGTGACACTTTTACTGTGAACACAACAGCTTATTTAATACACAGGCCGACAGGCTTCCTGACGGACATAATATGATAATATACAAATAGACAAAAGCAATACAGTATGTACAACTAAGTTAAGTTTCATTGTCTGGATATCTGCGCCAACTTTCATCATAATCCATCAAACAGTTGGTGAGATAGTGGTGGAATTACTGAAGTAAAAGTACTTATACCACACTGTAGAAATACTAAAAGTCCTGCATGGAAAATGTTCTATAAGTAAAAGTAGGTAAGTATGATCAGAAAAATATACTTACTTACTTACAAGCATTAAAATGTTGTGTGACTGTTGAACTATTATATATTCACTAATCAGATTTTTATTCTTCCTCTTGTATTAATGCAATGCAGGATTTTACTGCTGTAGTTGTTGAGGCTGGAGCTCATTCTGATCTATTTTGTATCAGACTGCAGCTAATGATTATTTTCATTATGGATTAATCTGCTGATTATTTCCATTAATCGACTGATTGGTTGGTTTGTAAAAAAAAAAAAAGTCTGAAAATACTCAGAAATGCCATCACAGTTACCCAGAGCCCAAAGTGACACCTTCACAATGCTTGTTGTGTCCAACCAACAGTCCAAACCTGAACATCGTTTAGCTTAAAAGTTCATCAAAATAGTTGCCAATTAACTTTCTGTCAACTGACTAATCAATTAATCGTCTAATCATTTCAGCTGTACCGGTGGTTGGTTTATTACAAAACATTATATTTTATATGCTGTTAGATAAATGTAGCATAGTAGTGTCATGAAAAGACAAAGTTTACATTAGTACTTAAGTTCAGTACTTGAGTAAATGTTCACGTATTTTAATTTCCCTGCATTGGATCATTAAAGTGAATCTTACCTGAGCATCTCCTCCACTTGAAATCCTTTCTTTCGCCCGAGCTGAGAGAGGAAAGCTCTTCTACTGGCTCCCATCTTTCTTTCTAACAGGAATAAAACAACCTGGGGGAACTTGGCTGGCACTTTCTCTCCATTGAGGTTAGTCCCAGTGTTCCCAGCATGTGATGGGACAAGTTTCCTTCTCTTTAATGGAACCATGTTTCACTCTGTTGCTGAATAATCTCATAACCCTCTGGTGTTGAAGCCTACAAACATGTAACATTAGAGCCCATGTCTTCTATAACAAGCTAAATATTCAATGTGTTTTTTGGCTAATTCTGACCATCATTTCTTTGTTGCTAGCTTAGTTTTATAAAGCTATTTATCGTAAAATAGTAATTATTACAAATAAAATGCTACGTCGAAGCTAAGTTAAAGTGTTTAACGTACCCGGGTTCATATTCTGTGTCAGGTTAAAGAGAAAGAAAACCACTTCCAGCAGAAAACTTCTGTTTCACTGCAACCGGAAGCAGCTGTGTAGGAGGCAGCTCCAGCTGCACGTAACCAAAATAGTTCCGACTAGAAACGCTCAGACCAGACTGCCCAGTATGGAAGCCCACTGCTGCCACTACAAAAAAAAAAGTTAGCTGTGATATAAACTAAAATAGTCATGGTAAGTCAAAGATAGTAAGTCAGTATTCTCATAATTTAGTTTTTTTAAATTTTTGCCTATATATATATATATATATATATATATATAATAATAATAATCCTTATTTGTAGAGCACTTTTCAAAAACAAGTTACAAAGTGCTTTAACAAGTGTAAAGAATAATACAAAAAAACAAGATAAGAGCATGAAAAATTAATCTAAAATTAGTAAAATACAATAAAATAAAAGGGATAAAATAAAGTCAAATAAGATCGGGAAAGGCTCTCCTATAAAAGTACGTTTTAAGAAGGGACTTAAAAGTGTTCACTGACTCAGCCGACCTGATTTCCTCGGGCAGGCTGTTCCAGAGCCTCGAGGCCCTGACAGCAAACGCTCTGTCCCCTTTAGTTTTCAGTCGAGACTCTGGAACAGACAACAGACCTCTGCCCGAGGATCTCAAGGTACGTGCTGGTGCGTATATATATATATATATATATGTGTGTGTTTATGTGTGTTTTGTGTGTGTTTTTTTTAACTAAAAATAAGTTTGAACTTAACTGATATACAGTAAATGCATTATACATTATATTATCTGACATTATTAGACTGTCAATACTGATGCATCAATTTAATATTGTAGCTGCTTGAGGTGGAGCTAGTTTTTCTACTTTATATACAGTTAGTTGTATACAGTTCCAAAGTCCAGTGGTTCCCAACCTTTGGGTCGGGCCCCTTCAAAGGGTCACCGAAATGTAGTAATGTGGACAACAAAACAAACATAATTCTGCTAAACAGTTTTAAAATCCTTTCTTGTTTGGACTTTGAAAAGTATGACCTCTTTGGGCCTCAAACAAGTATTTAAATGATAAAATATGGAAAGTTTAGAAGAGAAATTTCTCTTTGGTGGAACTTCTAAACAGCTTTTTTTGTAAAAGGTACAATATTTCCCTCTGAAATGTAGTGGGGTAAAAGTGTAAAGTAGCATAATGCAGAACTACAAAAGTAGCCCTAAAGTACAAGTACGTCAAAATGTACTACACCACTTAATGTGGCTGAACAAATTTACATGTGGAGCTGGTTCTTCCACTTTAAGGCCATCACAGTACAGATGATGAGGATGATAAACTGTCATCAGTTACCAATAATAGCATCCACCCTTTATGATGCACAGGCTGCTATAAGCTCAGCAGAACACCTTCAACTCATTTCATAGTTCGACAAGAAACAGGTCAGGCATGACTGTACCTACTCATCGCTACCTGCCTGTACAACAATTCATCAGAAACATCTGCAGAAGAAATATGAATTGCAGCTAAATTCAGAGATTACAAACGGATCATTAATGTCTCACTTCTTCTCTTTATAGTGTTGGTCAATATTAAGGCGCTAACTGACTGATCCTCACTGTACAATATCTCGGTAAGAAATTATTCTTTTTCCTATTGATGAGTTAGATGAGAAGCTCAATAACACTCTCTTGCAAGTACGCTAACTATGAAGCTATAGCACCAATAATTGGTTTGGTAGGTAGGTAGGCAGGTACATTTATTGTCACAATATAACAGGTTATATGATGAAATTGAGCTTTGTAACTCCCTTCTGCTACATAGCAGATAATATACATTAATATAGAAGCAATTATAAAAATGGTAACAGAAATAAACAATATATAGTTTTCAATGAAGCAGTGCTGAGGATGAATTAGAGTTTAAGAGTCTGATAGCTTGGGGGGGGAAAGCTGCTCTGCAGTCTGGTGGTGCGGAAGCAGAAACTTCTATATCTCTTCCCAGAAGGCAGCAGGGTGAACAGGCTGTGGCTGGGTGGGTACTGTCCTTTAGTATCCTTTGGTCTCTGCGCAGGCACCTCACCGATATCGCTGATGCTCGGGAGATGGGTACCAATGATCTTCTGAGCAGTTTTAATCACCCGCTGCAGAGCCCTCCGGTCCTGGGCCGTGCACATCCCATGCCAGTTTGAGATGTTTCCAGTCAGGATGCTTTCTATTGCTTCTTTGTAAAAGCTGACAAGAACTTGGCAAAGAAATTTGGCCTTCTTAAGCTTCCTTAAGAAAAACAGTCTGAGCTTTCTTCACCAGCGTGGAGGTTTGAGACGACCATGTCAGGTTCTCTGTGATGCAGATTCCCAGGAACCTGAAATTGTTCACCTGCTCCACCTCAGCTGCACTGATGTAGACGGGAGCGTGTGTCTTTATTTACTTTATACTGAAATCAACGATCAACTCCTTAGTTTTGCTGACGTCGAGCAGTAGTTTGTTCTCTGAGCACCACTCTGCAATATTATGAATTTCCTCCCAATATGAAGTCTCATCGTCGTTTGAAATCCGGACGGTGATGGCGGTGTCGTCCGCAAACTTCACAACAGAGTTCTCTCCACAGCTTAAATTAGCATTAAAACTGTGTTTAACCTTTACAAAGAATTAAATGTATGTGCTGGATTATTTCTTGGCTGAGAGCAGTGTTGTCTGGTCTGAAAAAACAACTTAACTTTAAACCATTTTGTTTTCGAAAGAGCAAGAACCTTGATAACCCTTTAAATTTTCATCTAGTGCCATCATCAGGTCAAAATGTTTGTCCAGTCCTTCGGTTTACAACCAAAAAGCTGAAAAACTCTTTAATTCATTCCCATCAGCCTCAAGTTTTTGTTTATCGCCATTTAGCATATGTTAGCATACTAAGGCACTAGACTACAATGGTGAACATGGTAAAAATTACGCTAAACATCAGCATGTTAGCATTGTCATCGTGCGTATGTTAGCATGCTGATGTTAGCATTAGCTCAAACCACCGCCATGGCTAAGCAGCTTCACAGATCTGCTAAAGGCCACTTTATACTTCTGCGTCGAGTTTACACCGTAGGGTTAGCCTAGTTAGTGTTATAGGCAACATCGCCGTGAGCGTTTATACTTGTCCGTGTTTATGTAACTCTGTAATTAAACCGCCAAAATGCTAGTTGGCAGTGGGGTTTCTATGTTGCACCACTGAAGTGGTACAGTGAAGGGTACGGTGTAGGGTACTCGGCTAGGTGTAAACTGTGGTCTAGATTCAAGTATAAACTTGCTTTAACATGGCTGTATATGACTATATCTTGTTTACCACTTCCAGCTCACCCCTGACACCATCAGACCAACCAGTGCAAAGGAAGTGCTCAATGATGTGGTTGATTAGATAGCTAGAGTCAGTCCGTATTATCAATAAATAATCTTTTTCGTGTGAGAGTATCCTGTGAGAGATAATTACTTGCAAATGAGCCCCTGTGCTTCATACAGAAAGTTGGTTGTATGAATTTCTTAGCGCCCAGTGTTCTTTAGATAAAAACCAGGTGCATTATAACCTCTTCTGTCCACCTTTGGTAAGTCAGTCATTATAAACTCACGCTGTTTGCACTGTTTAATCACACAAAACTCTATTTTAAAGTCTCCTCAAGTGTCAAAAGATCCCAAAGATATCAAATATCTCAGCCTGAATAACAGAGAAATCTTCAGTACATGACGTAATGCTCATGAAATCAAGATTTTTTCCAAGTATCAAAGTAATTTATTCATTATAATACAACACAAACTTGTACAACAAAATCAAAGTTTGTAGTCCCTTCAAGCTACATGACTAAATCTAGTCAACTTAGTTTTACATTTTTTCATTTACTGTATGAAATATGCACTCTGTCAGATCTGTGTCATCATGTATTGTGTATATGTTTTCAAATATGTTGTGTTTAAATGTTTGGATTAAAATTTTTTACCCTTGTCAAACACTGAAATAAATGATTTGATCGACAGTCACTGTAAAGCTGTTTGAGGGGAGATTTTAGGGAAATTACATCTTTTGTGCTAAAATGGTTTCAGATCCTCCTTCTGTATACATTTAGGTTTTATTTCTCTTCAAAACAAAACTACATTTATAGACTATAAATATATTAGAGTGAGGTGGATAAGTCGGCCGGACCAATACATAAAATAAATCATATTTGTATGTTTTAGAAACTGCATCAACATAACAACTGTAAAATCTCCAACTCAACTCTTGGTTACTATTCCTAAATATCTGAATTTAGGAAATCCTTATCAAAAATGTTTTCTTGTGCTATGTGTTTGTAAAAAAACAATAAAAGTCTGAAAATTGACCAGTTGATCTTGTTATCAGATTTTTAAAACTCTCAAATGTCGAGATTGGTATTGGCCTAAAAAAGCCAGTAATTGTCAGGCTGTGATATCTATGTATACATCTGACATTGGTAAAATAATGAATGAACGAACGAATAAATGTCTCCCTCTATTGGACTGAATTTAAAATTAAACAAGATACGCCACTCAATGTCGTGAATTTTGATCTAAAATGAAATGAGTAACATTGTTAAAATGATTCACATTTTTGTTAAATGGTTTTCTATACTGGAATAAATTTAAAATTAAATCACATAACATAATAAAACGTAACATAAAATAATATAGGCTAATATAATAAAAAGCAATACAATATAATTCAATTTAATATATTAAATTAGTAATATTGGTGACTTTTTCGAATAATGGATCTCTATATTGCTGCGAAGGACTGGCGACCCGTCCAGGGTGTACCCCGCCCTGCGCCCGATGCCAGCTGGGATTGGCTCCAGCCCCCCGCGACCCTGTACGCAGGATAAGCTGTTGATGATGGATGGATGGATGGATGGATCTCTATATTGGATTAAATACAATATAATATAATAAATTATGAAATAACTTTTTTATTAATTGACTCTGTATTATATATTCTGATATACCTAATATAACATGATGTAATGTAGTATGCCATATAATAAATTACCAAATTACTTTTATATTAATGCTTTCTATATATAATGTAATCAAGGTATTTTATTTATCACTATTC